AACGTCTTGCTTGCCTAGCACCTGCTGCAGCCCCCGCTGGATCGCTTCCGCCCGCGCGTCTGCAACCCAGACCTCCTTCTCTCTCGGCAGCCCAGCGAGCCCTGACAACATGCTGATGCTCATCGGCCTCTTCGCTATCCTGCTCGGCCCCACGTACTTCGTGCTGCTGCTGTCCACCCCTAAGAAGCGGTGCCATGCTACGCTCAGCAGCCGGAACGCATTGATCGACCGCACTCTGAGATGCTTCACAATATCCATCAGCACGCTGTAGTTGCCTACGCCTATTGCAGTTGTGCGCGAGTTTTGCAGCTTAAGAATGTCTTTACTGTTGTTACCCACTTCTGCCTCTTCCATCTCTCCTACGTTGTCTTGACAGCCCTTGCTGAACAACTCTCCCACATACACCTGGCTAATCCCCACCGCTGCGTGCCGGTAGTCGAGCGTGTGCAGCGGCACTCCAAGCCTCTTACCAGTCTCTCGCCGCAGTATCCTCGTGAGCTGGCCAGTGTCCTACGCGCCCTGCGCATTGTGCCACACGTAGTCGCTGTAGTTCCCCCTAAGCACCTGCAGCGTCAGATACTCCTTAAACAGCTGCATGTGCACTAAGTACAATGCCATCACCTGCCCTAGCTGCAGTGACAAGAAGCGCAGCACAATCTTTAGCTTGTCCTACTACAACTACAACTTGTAATAGTAGACAACTATTATTACCTGCCTATCTATAACAAAGATATTATAGTCTTATAGTACACTATTATAGTGTTAAATTATTATAATCTAGCTGCATGTCTTGCACTGCGCACTATTAAGTAGCTTTTCCTAGCTCTTCTATTAGCTGCGTAGGCTCTTCTAGGAGCTTAATTGCGCTTAGAGTAACAGTCTTAAATTAAGTAAAGCGCTTAAGTATCTGTTGCTGTAGCGCAGCAGATGCAGCATAATATTTGCGGAGATGCACATCAAGACTTACAACCACTATACAGTGCTGCTTGCAAACAATAACGCTAAAGCCTTTAAGAAAGCAGAAAATGTGTGGTATTTGCGCCTCCTAGGCGACAGTGCCTGGTGCAGGTGGCGTTAGCGTACGTAGCTGTACATCAAGCTTTGATAACACAACCTTAGGGTTATGTGGGGCTAGCCTAGCGCCTCAAAACCCTGTGTGAACATTCTCTAGTGTAAACGTCCTCTTAAAAGCTACTTTAAAGGCTGGTAGGAAGGTTTCTTTGTTGATATGGTAGATGCGGCTGCGTG